CTGCACACTGTCTAAAAACCTACGCGAGCGTTCAGACCTTGAAGTTACATTGACCAAACTTTATTTCTCAGCATTCTCCTCCTTTCTCTTTTTTTCCCATTTTTAAAGGGAGGCTCGACCTTCTTCATCTGTCTGGAACCCCCACTCATTCTCAAAGGTATCTGCCAACAGTTCTGAGACTACTTCAAATTTACTCAAAGGTAAATTTCTTCAGTCCCGATCAATTTGAAAAAAATCTACTAAATACATCCTGTCTCTGACCTATTCTTTCCCTTTCCTAGCCTAAGTTCTTATCTCTTTATCGCTATTGCGTTAGTTATCCAATATCCTTTAAATTTTGTGGTGAAGACTGGCAGAAAAAAATAAATATGTAGGCTCCATAGTGTTATCCATTTTATATATATTAGCTTTCCATCTTCACAGGGCTACTAACCAGTGTGGCTGCTTGCAGATATTAACAACCCCTCCACAAAGCCCCCCCCAAATCACACTTTACTGGAAGTTCTTTACTGCAACCTGGATCCATGTCATCCGTATAGATCAGGTGCTTTAGTGGGGCTTTTTGGTGCTTTTAACTAAGCCATATCAATCAGCTATTCAATAAAGGCACCAAAAAAGCTCCACTAAAGTACCCAATCTATACTGATACTGGGCCCCACTAACGTGCTGCCCAGTGGCGGATTAAGATTCATTGGAGGCCCCCCACCAGGCAAGGGCAAGTTGCCTCTCCCCAACCAGGGGGCTGTGGCTGGACCCACCCGGCCTCCTTGGTGCGTCTGGGGTGAGCCAGGGGCACAAGTACCACTGAGGTGAAAATGGCCTCGGCCCTGGCCCAGCTCAGCCCCTCTGCGCAGTAGGTGTCACACAGCTGGGGCTGTGGTCCCCCACTGCTGCAGGCTGGGGATGGAGCCAGGGTCAGGGCACAGGCTCCAGGTTGCCCACCCCTCCTCTGTCAGCCTCAGTGGGGTGGGCTAGAGCTGCCATCCCATCCTGTCCCAGAGATGCTGGAGCTGGTGGCCACTCAGACAGCTGCAGATGGCCCCGGGAAGCTGCCACCACTCACAGGGAACTCTGCACCCACCCCTAGCCCTGGCCTGGCCAGAGGGGAGGAGGTACATACTGCTCACCCTGGATGACTAGAGTCAGGATGTCCACCTGGACTGTACTGCCCCTGGTGGCCCAGGCAGTACCTGACTGACAGGGGCCTCTGGGCCTGGGCCCCACACGTTAATCTGCCTCTAACACTCCCTCTTTTTGGCATGTGCTGGGCTCAGAACGGGGGCGTGCGGAATTTAAGTAAAGCGTCATTTTTTTGTTTTTTTTAACGTCTACAAGCAGCCTTTATATAAATAGACAGTAAGCGTACTCCAAAAGGCCCTATTTTTGGAGACTGTCAGATAAATATTTGTTATGTGGCTCAAAGTAAGGCCACTCCAGGGCAGGATTATCTCTGATCTATGAAACCCAGCTTATGTTGCACTTAGGTGTAGCCACTCTAGGCTATACTCTAGTGTAAACACGCAACCCAACCCACACCCCTGCTAGCCTGGTTCAGGCTCATTGTCCTCCTGCCACCCCTCCTCCCACCTACTTGTAGCTCCTGCATTATCTGCCCCAGGGGAGCGGGCAGGGAAGTGTTAACCTGGCTGCCCAGCCCCGCTGGTGCTGCTCTTTGGTGGGCTCAATATTTGATTCAATAACTATGTAATCAAGCATATGGATAGTAAAATTTTAAAAAAAGCTTCTTGTTGACATAATCTCAGGCTAAATGACTGTCAATATTTGATAATAGGGAAGCTGCACTAAGAATTCAGTTACAAAATGTTTGGACAAAAAATATCATAAATATTTAATAAAAGTCATCAGCCATCTGTGAAGTTTCTGACTTGGCAACACAAAATGATGCAAGGCCTTGGTGGATGCGACTGAACCAAGTTAACCTCAAGTATTTAATTTCTAACTCATTGAAAACCAAGAAACAGGTGAGTTGTTCCCATGTGCTCTTTAATAGCTAGAAGTCAGCACTACTTGGATTATGGCTGCAAATGTGAAGGCAGTTAAAATAAGCGGGCATACATTTTCTGCGTAGTGTGTTACAACACAGATGAATGACTTATGGAAGCCAGTGTATAGCAACATCTCCATGAACTGCTTTGAACATGTTCCCCTTCCTATGCTTTCATACTAAACTGCAGGCTTCAAAGCTGAAGATTTGGAGAGCTTCAAATCAATTCGGACCTTTAATTGGTCCCCTGATTCGATTTGGAGATTTGGCCACCAAATCGGGCAAAATCTATTCTGAATTGAATCAGCATCCGAAGCTTTGCACCGCCCTACTAACTAGCCCTACTAACTCTCCCTGTTACTGGTATAAATTATGCTAGTATAAAGTTATAATGGTATAAAAAGCTGTACCAGTATAAATATTTCGGTAAAATATGTTACAAAATATTTTAGTAACATTTTCACTAAAATTGTTGTACTTTTATAAAATCTGCGTGTAAGTGCAGACTTAAAGCAACCATAAAATGCTTACACTGGGTCTTCAAGGCTTGATAAATCATGTTTACCTCAGGCTAACAGGAACCATTTTAAACTTATGCACAAACCCAGTTCCCTAACAAATTAAAATCTAGTGTTGACAGTAGCATACAACATATGTCCGGTCTCCTTTATTGCTTCTCTGAACTGCAAATGACAACAAAAGTCCTTTGGCACAGCCAGCTGGCTAGAATTAATTTAGGATGAGTGACAATTTTATCAATAAGATTGTGAAGTTTTTATTAAAACTTTTGTATGGCAGAGATAACAGGTTAGCAGGAATTTGATTGTGTAATTAAATTAGCCTATGCTTAGTTAGATTGCTATTCCTCATGCTGCTTCGTTTTCTTCTCTGTGTGGGTCCTCAAATGGAAAACTACTCGTCACTGAGGTTAGAGTAGCTGCAGAGAAAGTTTTATATAAAGGATATTGATTTCTCAGCGGAGAGCCCTAATGAAATAATTTAAGTTAATGGTGAATTCTAGTGAAACAGAATGTTATGGCTCTTGGTTATCTTGGCTTCATAATGGAATTTATGGCAGGGCAGCTGGCAATGTAAGACCTGTGTCACAGATCTGGTCAAGCTTCATCTGACCAGATGCCCACCAGTGTGACATCCTAAACCACTGGGCCTGATCTTCCTTAGATTCCTTCAGAATCTGAGCAGTCACTATCCTTGAATTGGCATTTCTAGGTAGACTCTTAGGGTGCAGATCCTTCCCAGAGCTCAATCCCATGCATGCTGTCCTGGGTCCTGTGCTAATCTGTCAGATTCCTTACATGTAGGGTGACAGTATTTCAATATTGTCAAATGGTATGTGCCACTCTCTGCCATGTTCACTGTATCTGAACAAGTTGGTGAGTGCCATGTGGAGTGAAATGAACTACATCGCGTCAGAGCTGCCTCCCTGCTTATGTATAGGCACCCACAGAGCTGGGATTTGCACAAGCTTTATGAACCATTTTTCTTTACTCAACAGGAGAAGAAATACACAAATAATATATAAATAAATTATAAATAAAAAATCATTAATTCATTCCGCTGCCACTCTGAAGTGTTCTTTGGGCCACATTCAGCTGCTCAACATCCTGTGCAGACCATGGTTTGATAACTGAGGCATG